AGGGCAACGCCCGCCAGGGGCATCCTGGAGGCGCCGCGCGCACTCCACTTGGAGGGCACGCGCTTTTTTTTCTGACGTCGCTGCTGGCGGCGCGCGGGGCGGCGCCGAAGCGGGTGGCATGGGCCCAGCGGGCTCTTCAGGAAGCCGGGCCGCGGCAAGCTGGTGCTCCCCGGGCGCGCGTCCAGATGGTCGCAACGGGCAGTGGCCGTTGGTCCGCGGGGAGTGCACGTCTCCTCGTTCCGCGGGCATGGGCCGGGGGTGCGGAGGGCAACGGTTCCGGCGCCGCGCCGGCCCGCCGCGCGCCCGCAGTTCTCTGGCGGACTGGCGCGAGGTTCCATCGGCGAGCGTTGTGGTCTCTTCGGGGGTCCATCCGTCGATGCCTCCCGCTCTGGCGGCACGTCGCGTCCTGATGATGCGCATGGGGGCATCATCCGTGAAGAGGAGAGGCTCAGCCGGTGCCTCCGGGAGTTCCCGGCTGTACTCCACTCTGAAATCCTCCCATTCGGGTGCGACCTCGTCGTTTCGGCTCCCCGTCATGCGGTGCCTGCCCGAGATAGGGTCCCATGCTTCGGTCGCGTGTCTGATCATAGCGTTGGTGTTCGCAAGGATTTGGTTGGGCTGAGTTTGGCCAGGAGCGACGTTGTTGTCGCTATCGCTGTCGTCGTCGTATTCGCTAGGCACGGCGGTGGGGCCTCGTCCTGCCCTGGTGAACCCCTGCCCCGCTCTCTTCGTCCGCCAGTGCCTGGCGGCGCGTGTGAGGGGCCGTTGTGGGGAGTGTTGGGGAAGACCTGCGGCGGAGTTGTCAGCCGCTCTGACCCATTGGCTTTTGGCTCTGCCCCTGCCCTTAGTTCCGCATGCAGCTGTTCCAAGCCTTCATGCGGTGAGCTTTGGTGGCGAGCGACAGGCGCGTCAGTTCGGCAGCAGTGGCAGCCGTAAGGTTGTCTAGCTGCAGGTCTGTCGAGATTTCGCCGCGATCCCAGGCGTGCGGAAACTCGATGGCACTGGCGGGTCGCGCTCCAGCAGCGAGCGCGTTGGCTGCCGGCTAAGCGTGCCCAACGTTTGCCCAGAGGCCAGGGCGATCGGCACCCTGGTCGCCCACGTGCTGGTGGTTGGCAGTCATTCGATGGGTCTGAGCTGCCTGGGAAGCTGTCCCAAGTTAGGGCTGGACCTAAACGGTGTTTTTGGTGATCTTGGCGGGCTGTTTTCGTTTCGACTTCGCTTTGCGGGAAAGGCGGACTCGAGACAAAAGCGAGGGAAAACGAAAACAACATGAAGACGAAAAACACCGTTCAGGTTCAGCCCTATCCCAAATCATTCGTCATGCGGCTGGTGGCTCCATGCTCTGGGCTCACCAGCGGGGCCGCGCTGCTGTCTTGGAAGACGGGGGGGCTTGCCATGCCGGGTGGCTGGCTGGCTGGTGTTGCCCTTGTGGTGCGCTTCCGGCGCGGAGCCCATTGTGGTCGTCACGTGCAGCCTGATTCGCAAGGTCGAACGGCTTGTCAACGTCGTCGGCCGTGTCAGGCGCGTCCACTGTCTCACGGTAGGCTTGCTCGATGTTGTCCCCGATGGTGTTGTTCCTCGCTGTCGGAACCGGGGTCGGCAAGTGGATTTGCAACATCCGCCTTGGATATCCTCGCCAGTTGTCTGGTGACGCAGGACGAATGCTGTAACCAGCTGTCTGCCCTTGGCGTTAGCGAGCGCGTAGTTGATGCGGATCCTCCCTCTCCGTGGTGTTCTACAGTCCCAGTCGAGACCGTGCCCGTCGGCGCAGGAATTTTCGCGGGGCAATCCTGTGGCAACGCTCGACTACCTCAGCTTGGTGGTTCGGGTGGGGAAGGCCGCGTCCTTGACGTCACGCTGAGCGTCCATGCACACGAAGTAGGGCACATCTCCTACCCTGCTTGCGGCGTCCCAGCCCTGGTGGAACAACGCCGCGCTGTCCTGCCTTGATTTGGCGTGGTCTGACGCCGCGTACATGCCTTCGTTGAAGTTTCTGTTTGACCCCGTCCGCCCCTCCCCCGACGCCTGGCGGCATTCCGGGTGGGTGTGGGGTATCATGGGTTCCGTCTATCGCGCGGCGGCGGGGAGAGCCGCCGCGGCGGGGTCGTTGGCGGCGTCGACGAGGGCGCATTGCGCGGCGATGCATGCCCCGCCGTGCTTGGCTGCAGTGGATCGTGCCCCGCGGTCAGTCCCGCCTCCGTGACCTTTCCGTTTGACATAGCCGTCCGTTGGATTCTTCCCCCAGGCAGGTCGCCCTCCGCTTTCTGGTGGTCTTATGCGCCTGTCGCCGCAGAGGGGCGGCTTCCGCCCGTCCTTCTCGTGGGCAGGTGCCTCCTCCCGTCGGGGAGCCGCGTGGCAGGGCCTCCAGGGCGCTCCTTCGCGGCCTCCGACGCCCCGTCGGGGCCCGAAAACTGCGCCAGGGGGGATATCAGACGTCTCCCCACAGAAAAGAAAGGCCTAGCACAGAAGGCGGCGGCGGCGGCGGCAGCCAGGCGGAGGAGAGAAAGGGCGAGCCGACGCTGCGGCAGCCCGAGCGGCGGGGGCGGCGGCGCTCGACGCTACAGAGGGGACTGGCGCCCCCGCCGCCGTCATCGCCGAGCGCGGGGCCGCCGCTCCCGTAGCCGCGCGCGGGCGTGGCAGCCGCGGCAGATCCCGCTCTGGGGCCCGCGCCGTGGCCGGCCTCGCTGCCCGTTTTGTCCGGCACGCCCGGTGTGGTCGATGTCGGCTGGTTCCCGCCCCTCCTTGCCTGCTCCGCCCGCGTCGATGTCGGGCGGCTCCGTCTCAGGATTGACCTGGGCTGGCCCTCTACACCCGGGCCCTTGGTGGGCCTGGGGGTGGGTGGGGGCCTGCGGCGGCCCGGGTCTTGGTGGCCCTTCGGATGGGTTTCTCTCCAGCACCTTCGGGAATGCCTCGGCTCCCAGTCCGGGTGGTGCGGGCGTGGCTGTCGCCAGCGAGCCCGCTGGTAGGCCCGGAACGCTTGGCCCGGAGAAGGGGGCGCTGCTGGCCGCAAGCGTGCCGGCGGGCGGGCTGTCGCCTCCTGTGTTGGCGAAGGGCATGCTGTTTGCCTGGGCGGCGCAGCTTGGTGCTTCCCTCGGTGGGGCTGCGGAGTTGTCGGCTGGCGCCACGGTTGCCCATGCGGCTGGCCGCGGACCTCGGGCTCCGTCCTGTTGTCGCCGACTTGCGGCTGGTCGTGGCCTGCCTCGATTTTGTTGGGGAGTGCTGTCGGAACTGGCACAGCTTTCAGGGTTGGCGAAGCCTCGCAAGCTGGCCTGAGGCTAGCCGGGGCGGGCTTGGTCCAGGGCGCGCCTCTGCGCGGGATGCCGGAGGTATCTGTGGCGCCGTGCTGCCGCTGGCCGCAGCCGCTGCCGCTGCGCGTGGCTGCTGGCCGCATTTAGGGTGCGTCCGTGGCGGGGGTTCTCCTTTGCCACGGGCGGCCTTCCCTGCTTTGCCCAGCTGTTCTTTCTGTTCTCTGGCTTTCTAGCCCAGAATCGAGGTCAGGAGGCCAGACCGCGCATCGCTGCGTCCGTTGGCGGAACTGACATGCCCCCCTCGGTGGTCCGCCGGAGGAGGAGGAGGAGGAGGAGGAGGAGGAGGAGGAGGAGGAGGAGGAGGAGGAGGAGGAGGGGTGGCGAGGGGTGGTTCGCTTTCGCCCCCCGTCCGTGATCGGGTGGCGCGTGGCCTGTGGCGGCGGCCTCGGTGGCCGCCGCTTGGCGGCGCCGATGTGTGGCGCACGGTCACGGGGCTGCTGTGGCGCTGGGGGTCGGCTCCTGGGCCTGGAGCCAGGGTTGGCCATGTTTGCCCTCTGGGTCGTGGGGCCCCTCCTTCTGCCTTCCCCCCTCTGTCAATTAAAGCTGCGCGCGGCCCGCTTAGCTTCGACCGGAAGATGCTCGCTCGCGACCCGCGGATCAAAAAAGTGTGCCCTCCGGGAGGCCCGTGCCGCTGCGCATCGGGGAAGCGTAGGGCTCGGGCACGCGGGGACTCGGGCTGGCCGCAGTGTTCTGGCGAGCTCGTCCTGGGTTTTGACGGTGCAGTTTTCGTGGGATGTCTGCAGCGGGAGTCCGCGTCAAATTTCAGATTGTCGGGGGTGGACAGAGCCCCCAACAGTGACACGTCGATTAGTGAATTGTCCGTTTTCGGTTCTCGAGAGGGTGCCGTGGCCGTTATTTTCCAGGCTTGCGCCCGCCAGGTTTGGGCCTGAGGTCGTTCTCACTAAACCACGTTTTACTAAAGGGGGGTCTGTCCATCCCCGAGATTGAGTCTCGTCATTTTTATGGTGGCCCCCGTCAGGCCAACCCGAGTCCCCCGTACCCGAGTCCTACGTCTCTACGATCTACAGTGGGGGCCCATGCCAAGAAACACCCTGCTTGCCTCCAGGGTGCCCTGCATTTCTTGGGTTTCGATGGTTTTGCGATGGAGAGAGCGAGAGAGAGAGAGAGAGACAGAGAGAGAGAGAGAGAAGGTAGGATGATAGAGGAGAGGGGGGGAGAGTTGAGAGAGTTGTGTAGAGAAAGAGAGAGAGAGAGAGAGAGAGAGAGAGAGGGAGAGAGAGAGACAGACAGACAGACAGAGAGACAGAGAGAGAGAGAAAGATATATAAATTGAGAGAGAGAGAGATAACGAGAGAGACAGAGAGAGAGAGAGAGAGAGAGAGAGAAAGAGGGGGGAACACACGCATACAATTGCAGAGGGAGCGGCTTTGCGAGGGCACGGGTGAGGGCGAGGCTGAAGGTGAATGCGTCCGGAGCTGGTTTGGCCAGAGTGATCGAGGACTCCATTCAGGATGTGGCGAGTACCTCATGAGGCAATCGCTTTGCAAGTGGAGTCGCAGGATCTCCGGATAATTTCAAAACGAAGCGCTTGCCTAGTTGAATCATGTGCGCGTGTGGAAGCAGTGGGGAAGGGGCGGGGAGAGAATGGGGGAGAGGAAGGTTGGAGGGGAAGGTGTGAAGTGAAGGGGTTTGGTGTGTGTGGGGCAGGCGAAATGAAGCAAACAGGTCCGCAGCCAGTTAGCCAAGCTGCACACTTGTCCTCCTCTAGTGTGCAAAGCCGACGTTGTCTGGGCCCGCCTGCTATCGTTTGGGTCGGTCTGGGTCGTGATGCCTCCTCTTTCAGAAGAGAAGAAGGCCGAGGCGGAGATAAACAGAATACGCAAGCTCCCCGAGAACAAGGTGTGCGCCAACTGCCTTACTCCTGGCAACCCGCTGCTGACGGCGGTGGTCATGAAGTACAAGATATTTGTGTGCAGCACCTGCAAGTCTGCGCACCAGTCCTTCTCTCATCGATGCAAGAGCACGCAGATGAGCGTCTGGACCATGGAGGAGTGCCGTTCCCTGGAGGGTAAGAACGGCGGAGGCAACCACGTGGCACAGGCCACCTGGTTGGCGCGCTGCAGGGACAGCGATCGGCCCAGAGAAGGCGACAAGCTTGAGCGGGTCAAGGACTTCGTGGAGGCCGCCTATGAGCGGAAGAGGTGGTATGACGAAGGAGGAGTCGGCGACGGAGGAGGAGGAGGGAGCTCCTCTCGCCGAGGCGGCCGGTCTCAGCGGGAGGAAAGCCCCGAGGCGCCACCACGTCGCCGCGGCGACCGAGGATCCAGTGACGTTGCGCCCGCTCCCAGGATGGCGCCGCCGAAGGGCAGCCCGCAGCCTGCCGAGACGATTGACCTCTTCGGCACCGATGTAGGCCCTGCGCCAGTGGCTGCTGGCGGCGGCTTCGATCCCAATGGTGGCTTCGATCCCAGCTCCGCGTCGATGTTCGACCCCAACGCTGGAGGGGGCTGCTCAGGGAGTGGCACCTCCGGCGCGTGCGGCGCTGCGCAGTCCCTCGCGTTCGACCCCTTCGTGTCCAGCCCAGCGCCGCCCGCGCAGCAGCCTCATGGCGGCGGCCCCGCCTGGCAAGCAGCTGCTCCGCCCAGCGGCGGATTCAACCCCAACGCAGGTGCGCCGATGTCGGCGCCCAGTGCCAGCGCTGGCGGCTTCGATGACTTCGCATTCGACCCCTTCGTGTCGGCGCCATCGTCCAGTGTGGCGCAGCCTGCTGGCCCAGCGGGCCAAGCGCCTGGAGGCTCCCTGGGAGGCTTCGACCCCAACGGGCCCGGCGGTGCCAGCAGCTTTGACCCGAACTTCCAGGCGGCGCCAGCTGTCGCGGCGCAGGGCGGCACTCTAGGTGGCTGCGGCGGCGCTGCGGGGGCCTCGGGCATGTGGGGTGGCGCGGGCCCGTGCATGGGCATGCCCAGCATGGCCGCCGGTGCGCAGCAGGGCGCGGGCGACCGCTTCGCCGCCCTCGGGGGCTACGCGCAGGCGCAGCAGCAGGCCCCCTGGCCACAGGTCGGCTTCACCCAAGCATACTTATACTATGTGCGCGTCGGCCCAATGGTGGACGGGCGCGCTCAGAAATCTTATAGTATGTGCCCCGTGGCGGGCGCTTTCTGGGCATACCGCTGGAGCAACGACATACTATAAGATGGCTGTTCTCCATGATCTGGTCGGACGCACGCCACCAAGGAGGGCACCTAGTACTAGTACGGCAGGTTCGTGTCGTGTCGACGCGGCGGCGACCCCAGCGCGGGCGTTCAAGGTTGCGCGCCGCCAGTGGCCCGAATCGGCCTCTATGGAACGCTCTGGCGGTCGACGCGCCCCCGATCGTTCCAGGCTGAAGGACCCACGCGGTGTCAGAGACCAACGCCGAAGTCGTCACGACACGAACCCGCCGACATGCCTGTGTGTTTTTTTCCTCTGTGTGTGTTTTGTTTTTTAGTGTTTTTTTTTGTGTGTGTGTGTGTGTTTTGTGTGTGTATTTGTTTGTTTGTTTGTTTGTTTGTTTGTTTGTTTGTTTGTTTGTTTGTTTGTTTGTGTGTGTTTTTTTGTTTGTGTGTGTTTTTTTTTGGTGTTTTTTGTTTGCGTCCCATCAGGCGCAGCAGCCGGCGCCCTTTGCGGCGCCCGGCGGCATGGGGCAGCCGCAGAGCAGGTTCGCGGCGCTGGGCGCGCCGTGCGGGCCGCGGCCCGTGGGGCCCGCCGCGGGGCTCCCGCCGCAGGGCGCCGCCGCGCAGGCCCTGTGGGGCCAGCAGGCAGGCTGCTGCTTGCGCTCCTTCTCCTCCTCCTCCTCCTCCTCCTCCTCCTCCTCCTCCTCCTCCTCCTCCCCCTCCTCCCCCTCCCCCTCCTCCTCCTCCTCCTCCTCCTCCTCCTCCTCCTCCTCCTCCTCCTCCTCCTCCTCCTCTCCTCCCCTCCCCCTCCTCCTCCTCCTCCTCCTCCTCCTCCTTCCTCCTCCTCCTCTCCTCCTCCTCCTCCTCCTCCTCCTCCTCCTCCTCCTCCTCCTCCTCCTCCTCCTCCTCCCCTCCTCCTCCTCCTCCTCCTCCCCTCCTCCTCCTCCTCCTCCCTCCTCCTCCTCCTCCTCCTCCTCCTCCTCCTCCTCCTCCTCCTCCTCCTCCTCCTCCTGCTCCTCCCCCCCCCCTCCTCCTCCTCCTCCCCTCCTCCTCCTCCTCCTCCTCCTCCTCCTCCTCCTCCTCCTCCTCCTCCTCCTCCTCCTCCTCCTCCTCCTCCTCCTCCTCTCCTCCTCCTCCTCCGTCTCCTCCTCCTCCTCTTCAGGCAGGCTGCTGCGGGCCAGCGTTCGGCGCGCAGCCGAACCTCGCGATGCCCAGCGCGCCCGGCGCCGTGCAGCAGGGCGGCTTCAACCCCTCGGCGCCGGCGACGGGCCCGAGCAGCGTCCAGGACCTGCAGCGAAGTCTGCACAACCTGTACGACACGCCCAGCGGCCCTGCTGGCACGGGGCCAGCAGGTGGTTTCAATGCCTTCGCGTTTTGATCGCTGGCCTGATTCACAGCGCTTTGCGTCAACACGGCCAGACGGGGTAGCGGACTGTAGTGAAGTCAGTCGTCTGGCAGCCTTCGCAGGCCTTCTTTTTTCGGGCCTCGTGAATCTTTCTTGGGGCCTCCCTTGGGCCAACCAAGCACACACATACGCGTGTACACACATACACACACAGACACCTGCAGACACGCTTACATCTACACTTACATAAGCACTCACACGCACACATACATGCGCACGAGTACGCACGTAGACGTAGACAAACAGACACGCACAGGCACACGCAGGCCCACACAGACACACGCAGACTCACATTGACACACTGGCATACACATAAGCACACGGACATACAGAGACAGACATATAGACAGACAGACAGACAGGCAGGCCGACAGGGAGACAGACAGACAGGCACACACAGGCACACACACAAATATGCATACATGCGCACATACGCACGCACATTTTGTGGCGTCGCGGCCGCGCCCGCGGAGGCGCGGCGTAGAACATCGGGCAAGTAGACGCGCGCGGCTGTCCAAGGTCTCGCGGCGTGGGGACATGGGCTCCGCCCGCAGGGGACCGACAATGCCACTCACGAGGGGGCGACGCGAGGGGAAGAGGACGGTTAGACGTGGAGAATGCGGGGAGAAGGCGTGGAGATCGGGATAGCGAAGCAATACAGACGTACACATACGTACATGCACACATACACACAGATGCAGACGCGCACAGACACACAAAGACACACCCTGACATCCACACACAAAAAATGCACACAGACACACTTACGCGGACACGCAGGCACACATACACACTCATACACAGACGCACACACACATGCGCACGTACGCATACGCACACGCACAACACTTCTCCTCCGACGAACCAATGATTCCAATCGGCGATGTACCAAGTAAGGCGGGACGCGCGCAATTCCTTCTAGCCCCTTTGTGAGCCAGTGCAGCTAGATCTGGCGATCCCAGTGAGAGTCAAGCATGGTCGGTCGCTGGGCAGAGAATACCAGGCGACGTGCAGGACAGTCAGACGTGAGAGCGAAACGAGGCGCACCAATAGAAGCCGCAGGCACCTGCACATGAAGCATGGCGAGCACGAGACAGAAGGGAAAAGTGTGGCTTGGCAGCCCGACGACACCACCGCGATGCTGCAGCAGGCAGGGGTTGCATCCGCACGTGTGGCGCAATCGCTCGACCCCAGCCGTGTGTTCCTGGGCGAGGTGCAGGCTGAGTGAGCAGCACGGTCGAAGCAAGGGAAACAACGAGACATGCAGGACAGCGAAGCGTGTGCGTTGACACGGCACGCCGAAGGGGGGCACAGGAGACGTTGTTGGCCATGCGACCGCCTCCGAATGAGAAGCAGAGGAGAAACAGGAGCGAACCACGCGAACCCTGCATGAGCGCCCGCGCCAATGCAGTCGGTGTGGAAGGCGAGCAAGCCCGAAGCGCGAAGGCTGAAGGCGGATGAGCCCTGGCAGCCACGAGCAGAAGACACACATTCACACCCATCCGCTCATTCATCTAGACACGTTCGCAAACGCAGTCGCACAGACACATACACATTACTATATATCTATATATATATATATGTGTATCTACACACACGTAGTCTTCCACACGCGCACACAAGACACACACGCAAGCATAAACACAACACACAAACGCACTCATACATCCATACATACATACATGCATACATACATACGCAGACACATATACATACACATACACATACACATACACATACCCATATCCTTGTTCCTTATTAGACTATACCCCACCTGCCTCGTATTCCGGCCGATAGCGGCCCAATCCGGGACCTCCCATCCGGACTGAAAAAAATCAATACAAAGTGGCCGTTTGGCCTGCCTTGTCGACGACGGTGCAGAATATATGGCAGCAGTGGGACGCGGCGCACATATGGGACGCGGCGCGCATCGCGCGCGGCCGTCAATCCGGGCCCGCCCATCCTGACTGTAAAAAATCAATACAAAGTCTCCGTTTTTTCCTCTCAGCATGGCCTGCCTTGTCGCCGACGGTGCGAAATTCTGCACGCTTCGCGTATCCCCACCAGCCCATCCCCAAACAGCAACTCCAGCGAAGCATGCCGACAGTCGTGTTTTTCAGGCGTATTTCTGCCTGCTCTCGCATATATACCCTGTTCCTATGTCCTCCTGCCGCCTTGTACATCCACCTCGTGGGGGGAGCGGGAGGAGGACGAGTCCGAGGAGGAGGAGGGAGAGAAGGTGTTGGGAGGGAAGACAGAGGGCGGTCGTCGTCGTTTCACACACGTGAACGAGTCAGACGACTCAAATGACGGCGACGCCTCAGACGATGACGGCGACGACCACGACGACGACGACGACGACGATTACGATGACAACGACGACGTCGGCGACGACGATGCAGGCGACGACGACGACGACGATCCAGCGTTCTCCCCCGACCAGTTGTGCAGTGAGCGTAACTCGGCACGGATGGGCAGGTCTCCCTCTGAACGCATAGTTCGGAGAGTGGCAGTGAGCTTAGCTCCGCCCATCCAGCAACCTGCCCGACCAGTTGTGCAGTGAGATCTAGAGACCGCCAGCGGGCTACACCACAGCACACCACACGACACCACAGCACACCACACCACACCACACCACACCACGGCACGCCACGCCACGCCACGCCACGCCACGCCACTCAACCCATACCAGCACGATCAGTAAACGCGACAGGAATCAGAAAAGGAACCAAGAAGCAGCAAAGGCGAGATCGGAGGAATCAGCAAAGGAGAGATTTCAGGAACCACACCGCACTGCACCGCACTAGACCACCCCGCACCAACACCACACCACACCGCACCACACCGCACCACACCGCACCGCA